GAGATGTGCACCACCACACCTGGTCCAGAATTGAATGCCAAGCCCAGGGACTGGGCCCTGTTCTCCCACAGAGGAGTGTAATTATTCCGGGGGAAATGTCTCCCCCCATGTGTCTAAGGGCGAAGCACCACAGCTGAGTACCCGGCTTCTCTTTCTTTCAAGGTAAAGAACAGGAAGCATTGTGGTCATGGCTGCGCAGGTGTGCTTTCTTGCTCTATGGCAGAGACAGTAACTGATCAATGGTCCTAAATTACTTGTTTGTTTGTGTGTTTGCTTGTTTGTTTTTTAAGCATTTTTGCAGTGCTGGGGATTAAATCCAGGGCCTTGCACCTGCAAAGTAAATGCTCTCCCGCTCAGTAGCTCCATGCCCCAAAGTGGTCCCTGCTTTAAACTCCCGATGTGTATACCCAGGATGTAACTCAGGAGTTCAAATCCAGCCTGAGCAAGTTAGTATCTTAGCAAGCCCTGTCTCAAAAACACCCTCAGTTCAATCTCCAGTATCAGAAAAAGTAAAATGGAGGAGGAAGATGTGGGAGGAGGAGAAAGGATGGGGGCCCGGAGAGGGCGGTGGCACCATCCTCCGTCTCATGTGGCACAGGGAGATCCTGGCACACAGTGGTGGTCCAGTTGCTGAAGACTTCACTGGAGGTGACTTAAATAAATGTCCTGATATACCAGGTGTGGTGACACACACTTCTTATTCCAGAATTTAGGAGGCTGAGGCAGGAGGATCAATGCAAATTTGAGTTCAGTTCAGACTGTGAAATAATAAAACCTGGGCTATGTAATGAGTTTGAGGTCAGCATGTACTACATAGCAAGACTCTGTCTTTAAAAAAAAATGTCCTGGTAGGCTGAGAGCGGTGGTGCACACCTCTAGTCCCAGCTATTTGGGAGTCTGAGGCAGGAGGATTGCAAGTTTGAAGGGCAGCCTGGGCTACATAGCAGGTTGGAGATCAGTTTAGACTACATGGTGAAATTTCACCTTAAAAAAACCAAAACTATGGAGGGGGCTGCCCCAGTGGAGAGAAATGCTCTTGCATGTGCAACAATTCAGGAATTTTTAAAATTCCGGGTTTTTTACATATACAAAGAAAACAGAGAGCCAGGCATAATAGCACATGCCCAGCACTTGGGAGGCTGAGGCAGGAGGATCACCTCAAGCTCTAGGCCAGCCGGAGCTCCATAGGGAGTGCAGGTCAGCCTAAACTACAATGTGACCCTGTCTCAACAAAACAAAAACAAACAAAGTGGAGCTGGCCTAAACTGGGGGCTATGGTTGTGAGTTGCACACAGGGAGGTCTGCTGCATTGAAGTCAGTCGACCAGCAAGGCAGATCTGGCCCTGCAGCTGCATCCAGGAGCTGAGAAGAATGCCAGAGTGCTGGTTCCAAAGCACTGTGAATTCACCAAATCTGCAGTTCCCAGGATCAGCCAGCACTGCTCCCAGACTAGAAGATGCTGTGATGGAGGCTGCTGCTCCGCAGGGGAAAGACACTGGACTCAGAAACTCTATCTGGCCCCTCCTCCACTGCCAAGCCAATAACTCACAGCCTTGTTCCCACACAGCCCAGGGGAGGGGCTATGGACTCCCCATGAGGAAAGAGTATTTGCTGAGGGAGCTGCTGGGTGGGCTGCCAGCACTGGCAGGGTTAGGAGTCCAATCCCGACAGGTGTGAGCGCAGTTGGTCCAGGTGTTGCAACACATGCTAAATAAGAGTTCACTGCCTTGGGGCACATTCTTCTGCACAGGATGGAGCAGTTATCAAAGGTCCCAGGAGATGGGACAAATGCCCTGCTAGGACAATTCTTGGAGGCCTGGAGAAAGTGACAGTCCTTACAGAGCCTAACAGAAATACTCACATTGTCACAGCAGAGGACAGAGAAAACAGTGAAGAGGCTGAAGTGGCAGGCTTGTGGGGATGGCTGTACCCACCAGCCAGTGATGCTCCCCCGGGAAGAAGCATTCAGTGATGCTGGCAGGTGCTGGTCCTGGGTCCTCTGCAGGCAGGGCTGGTGATGGTGATACAGTGGGCTTGCTGTGCTTTAATGTCATCCTGGCAATGGGGACTGTGAAATAATAAAACCTGGTGATGCCACTTAGTGACCAGGAGCCAGCAGGCTGAAGTTTAGGGAGACTGGAGGCAGACAAAGGGCCTGTGCTACAGGGCCAAGAAGGGAGTTTACAGAGCGTGGCTCGCCAGGGCAGAGCAGCCAGCAGCCAACAAGGGTGCCCCCCCAACACCTGCAGACAAAACAATCTGAGGACAAATGAAGCCCAACAGGCTGAGGGAGGTCACCCCGAAGTCATGATTCCTCAATCAGCTCCCAGAGCTGAGCTTCGGTGGCAGATTCAGGACCTACTAGGGGGTGACAGCGTCCCCAAGGTGGGGGGAGGTCAAGGGCTGCCACCTGTTTCCTGTCATGACTGTCCCAGGCTTTCCTTGAGAGACCTACAACCACTTCACCATGTCACTGTAACACTACAAAAGAGAAACCAGGCCTTCTGAAGATCAGTATTGATGCCGAAACACAGATGATCATGAACCCTGGTTATTAGAGTAAAAGTTTGAAAAGACCTGGTAATAATTGGAATCCTGTCCCGAGTCTGTTCAAGGAGGCCCTGTGGTTTTACACACAGACACAGGAATCATTTCTATAATTTCCAAAGGCACAATGGGAATTGATGTACCTACTAGTTGAGGTAACTTGGCTTTTGGAACAAGAGATCTATCACAGAAAAGCCTGTTCAAATCAAATGTGGTGCTGCACTCCTATAATCCCAGCACTCAGGAGACTGAGGCAGGAGGATCACTGGAATTCAAGGCCAGCCTGGGCTGTAAAGACACGTGGTCTCAAAATAAAAGCAAAAACAAAATGACTAAGGCGTGGTGGAACACACCTGTAATCCCTGCAGTTGGGAGTTTGAGGCCAGTCTGGGTTACATAGTGAATTCAAGGACAGCCTGAACTACATAGCAAGATCTTGTCTCAAAAAAATAAATAAGTAAATAAATAAAAATTAATGAATTAATTAAAATTAAAAAAAGGACTAGTGGTGTAACTCTATGTTTAAACCTCAGTAGAGGCAGAGAAAGAGGGAGGAAGAGAGAGAGGCATAGAGAGAGACAGAGAGAAATAGAGCCGCTCTCTGGGAAACAAACAAGCTGACTTATATGTGACAGAGATTCTAAAGAAAAGCAAACGTGGTCATGAAGTCACCTTCCCAGGAGACACACAGTCCCAAAGCACTGGGATCCCCCAGGCTAGCTTGCTAGTTTCTCTAAACCCCCAGATAAGCAGTGGGCCCTACCCCCTCGTAGGCAGCTGAATTATCTGTGATTTCTTGAGTCCCCTTGGGCCATCTTGCAAGGAAAGACCCAGGATGTGAGAAGTACTATCTACCTTTATCCATCTCCAAAGCCATTTGGTCAAATCCTGGCCCATCCAGTGCTTCTAGACCCTGGGAGCCAGAGAAGGACAGGAAGACTTGCTGAGTAGATTCCTGGAGCGGCCCTCAGAAATGCAGTTTAGGCAGTCTAGGCTGGGCCTCCGACTCCTTTCCAGTCAGTTCCTCGAGAGACTGAAAGCCCTTGCAGGCTGAGCTTTGAACATGCACTTTGAGACTAATGGAGCCTTTTCCTAGGTGCAGAGAAAATCCACGCAAGAGGACTGATCTTCATGCTGCACTATTGTGGGCAGATGACACTGAAGTAGTCCTGGCTCCTCAGGGGGACCTGGGTACGGATCCACTTCATCTGCTCCTGAATGAAGCTCCAGCCTTTCCCAAACAGGTCTCCTCATGCCATTCCACACCTTAGTGTTCCGGGTTTTTGCTGCTCCTATTCTAGTGACCAAGCCTCTCCCCTCTCAATATTATTGTTAAATATTTGTGTTTAGAAGTAGATTTTGAGACATTTTTTGTTTTGTTGTTGAGACAATCTCCCTAATCGTTCATGCTGGCCTCAAACTCAGATTCTCCTGCCTCAACCTCCTGAGTCATAAGCCATATATTCCTTACAGCCGTAAATAGTGAGTGCGTGTTCCATACTTTTGAGAATAAATCAGTTAGAAAACACCAGGCGAGTTGAGCATGGTGGTGCACACCTGTGATTCCAGTCGTTGGGAGATGAAGCAGGAGAATGGCTGTGAATCCCGGGCCAGCATTGACCACACAGCGCATTTACAGCCTGAAATACATAGTGAAACGGTCTCAAAAAAATAAACGGGGCGTGGTGGCACACTACTGTAATCCCAGTACTCTGGAGGCTGAGGCAGGAAGATCATTGCAAGTTCGAGACCAGCCTGGGCTACGAAGTGAGCTCAAGGCCAGCCTGAACTGCATAGCAAGACCCTGTCTCAAAAAGACAAAAATAAATAAATAAGACACCTCTCTAAAATATGTCTTTTAAAAATACGTATCTCCGTATGTCTGTATTTGAAACAGATTTCACTATGTAATCCAGGCAGGCTGTCCTGAATCTCCCAGCCATCTTCCTGCCTCAGCCTCCAGGGTGCTGGGATTATAGGTGTGCGCCACCACACCTGGCTTCCATATTTTCCTGTTCATAGTAAATCCTTGAAACTCTCATGAGTGTCAGCCTAGGATTACTCTGAGAGTACTCCAGCCACTCCATCAGGCCTTGAAATTTGTCAGCAAGGTTTTGCCACGCCTGGTTTTCTCCTAAATCTCACCCTTAACAAAATGAAGAATCCGAGTTTTTTTTTTTTTTTTTTTTTTTTTTAATCATTTGTGTTAATACGAATGGCTTAATAACTCCAGCATCACTGGGTGGAGAGAGCGGGGTCCTGTGGCTGAAACACAGGTAGAATCATACTTTGTCAAACGCTAAGAGAGGAAACAGAGGGGAGGAAAACAGCCCCAGGTAACAGGAAGTAGGGGAGAAATTTGCCTATAAAAGGAGCAGTCCGACGCCCTCAGGTGACAAGGTGAAAGTCTCAGAGGGCCTCCGCTGGGCTTTGTCTCCCGGGAGGTCTTCAGGATGTCAGCTGCCAGCAACCACGGTGGCCAGGTGAGTTTGCTTTCTAGTAAGATTTCGCACTCAAAATCTTCCCGGGTCTCTGAGTGGTTTTTTTTTTTTGCTACCAGTCAAGCTCTGAGTACAGGAAATTTCCATCTTGGAGCCTTATCATAGCACATGAATTGCTTCCTCTTTTCTTCCAAGATTCACACTATGTGGATTTAGGTGAGAGAAAAGGAAAAGTGGTTTTCCACTTCTCATGGAAAGAAAAAAGTTTATTTTTATAAGAAAAGAAGTGTTGTCACTGGGTAAGATAAGAGTGGTAGAGAAGCTAAGCACTAACCTTTTAAAGGAAGAAAAATGGGTATCATGGAGACAGCTAGAAAGTAAAGTGACTCGATTTGATTTTTTTGTCTCCAAGAATAAAAAGGAACTCCCAATGTCCTTAGTACCGGATGGGTTTCCGGGTGGGGCTGGGCGTCCTCCTGGTCGAGATGAGGACTGAGGAGACACAGGGTATTACAGGGATCACTTCCTGGGGCCGAGCAGGAGCAGCCCAGAGCAGGGCTCTGCAGCCCAGAATAGAGCTCTCTAGCCCAGCGCCGGCGCGTGGTCCCTCCGAGCGGGCTCGGATTCCTGAGTGGTGCAAGCAGCGCGCCTAGTGACCAGAAGGAATCTTGGGCTGTGCTTGGGGAGAGTGGTTTACAAATGCAGAAATCACTAATTGCAAGCCAGAGCCTGCGGGTAATGGATCCATTGAATTTAAATCAGGGCAGGGAGAGAGGAGTGGCCCGGAGCCTCTAGATCCGGTTATACTGGGTCTGGAAGGGGTTTTCTTTCACCTGAGGGGAAGAGCTGGGTTCCGGGCACTCAGGACAGGCTTCGCCCTAGTATTGCTCACTTAACTTGGGAAGGCTTGGGTTTTTCATTCGTAGATCAGGGAAACCAATTACCACGGTCAACTAGAGGACTAAATAGGAGAAATACAGAAAGTGCCAGCAAGCGTGTGGGCTCCCCCCTCTACCTCATTACCTTGCTTCGTGCACCCTCTTGACAGTGCCCAAGGCAGAGCCTTTGCATAGATTGCACAGGGCCCGGACTCCACTGCCGACACCCTAGAGCAAACAGCAAACCACACCCCACGCGCCCAAAGCCGAGAGCCTGCTCTGTGCTGTGCGCTGCGTAACTTAGCAACCAAACACTAGAGCGCGTTCATTCAGCCCTCCCAGGGCCCGGCCTGCTCGGGAATTCGCAGGCTACCAATCAGAGCATATTTTTTGACTTTTGTCTTCAACCTGAATGGCAAGAAGTAGCCACTGGAGGGTTTTCTGGGAGCAGGAGCTCGGCCTGCTGATTGAGGAGTCAGTGGAAGCTGGATGAGGAGAGAGCTGCTGTGTGGTGCGTTTGGCCCCAGTTTGCTGGGCGAGTTGTGGCAGAAGGCGGAAGGGCGCAAACGCCCTCTTAGAGAGGGAAGCAGAGGAGGGAAAAACCTCCAATTTCAAACCCATTCTTCTGTATGCTGCCTCACCACACACCTGTAAATTGGCTTTTGCCTGATTCCTCATTATTTTCTTTACCCTAATAAAAGTTCTGCTAATCATATCGCATGCACAGAATCCCAGCACTTTTCCATGCACCTGTGATCTCCTATGTTTTTATTCCTGGGTTGCAGTTATGTAGCATCAAATGCAGTTTTTATTCCTGACAGTAGCAATTATGTGGCACCAAAGGCGAATCTCTGACTTTTCTCTTTTCAGAGTTTTTCAAAGGAAGAAACTTCTTCTTTAAAGGAGGAACTAGATGAGGAAAATGTGATTTTAACGCTGGTCCCCGTTACAGAGGAATGCGAGCAACAAATGGAACCAGATGTTTGGTCCCCGGCAGATGTACGAGGAAGTGCAGGTATCACACCTATGAGGGCTAGGAAAAGCGATGCAGGTGTGAGAACAGACTGTTTAGTTAGCGACTCTGGGAGCCCAGGAAAAGTAAGATTGTTCTTCCTTGTCTTCTAACTACAATACCCACCTTAAAACTCACTCGGTTAAAAAGATAACAACTCTCATGCTCCTGAACTGCCTCCCTTTTGAGATGCAAACTAGGCCTGCATCAGTCACTTTTAGGTGGAGTGTGTTTTCTTGGGGGCAGCCACCCTGCAGTCCAGAATTCACAACCCATGAAGCTCAGGCTCTTCTAGGAAAGCTAATGCACTGGGGGTGCAGCCTGGGATAGAGCATCAGCCTGACTGCGCAAGGAGCCCAGGTTCAATATTCAACACTGGGGGAAAGGTTTGTCTTTTGGGTTTTTTGCTTTGTTTTGTTTTAAAGTTTTGTTTGTTGTGAGACAGGGTCTCACTGCATTTCAGGCTGGCTTGGAACTTACTGTGTAGCACAGGCTGGCCAAGCATGGTGGTTGACCGTGGTAATTGGTTTCCCTGATCTACGAATGAAAAAACCAAGCCTAATAAGAAATACTTAGTCTCTTGAGTATTTTTATTTTGTGGGGGAGACAGAGTCTCCCCATGCCTTGAACTCTTGGTGATCCTCCTCTCTCAGCCTATGCAGTGCTGGGATTATAGGCAGGTACCACCACACCCAGCCCAGGAGAAAGAAAAGGTTAATACACACTTGCTTCTTGTTAAGATTAAGTGATTTAAAAAAAAAAAAAAAATCTAGTATTTTTGCTTGGTGAGTAATCACTAGTAAATATCAGCCCTTGAAAATCTTAGTACAGGACTTTATCCTCATAGGTGACTTTCTATAACTTCATAGGAAGAGCTGAAATAAGTTTCATTTTCTGGTTTGATTGAATAAGGTGAAGTGTGTTGGACTGGCAAGTGTTAGAGCACTGTAGCTTCGGGGTAGGTTTAGAAATGGTATCTTTGATTTTTGTAGGGACAGCTGATATTTCTGGTTCAAAGTTTAGATACTTTCGTGGAGAAATACAATATAATGCTGTAACCAAGTTTTTGCCAGTATTTGCAAAAAGCAGGCAAGTGTGTGTAACATTAAAAACATGGAGTTTAGAATCAAAGCGTGGATTTGAGTCCTTTAGGGATTATACTATCTTGGGCAAGTCTTTTAATTCCTGAATCTGTTGCCCCATTGTAATAGGTGTGAAAACCTGATTTATGAACAAGCTGGTTTGTGAGAGAGGTCAGAAAACCTTTGTGAACTTACAGAAGAATCTTATGACATTAAACAATGACTGGTTTGGTTCTGTTCCTTGCTCAGTTCACCTTCCACAGAGACAGGAAGAGTTGAAAAACTGCCCCAGAGCCAAGTGTAAGGCCGCAGCCCCTCCCCTGCCGACCTTTCTGCCCCCAGTGAATGAGGTGTCTCGAAACACCTTGCGGACCTGGTGCCAGCATTTTAACTTGAGCACCGATGGCCAGGTGAGTCCCCATGGGATGCTGCTGTGGGGACGAACATGGGGACATTTGTCAACTTGTAACCCCTCTTTCCCTTCCAATCTCCATAGAAAATAGAGGTCTACTTGCGGCTCCTGAAGCATGCGTACCCTCAGCAGGAATGTGTGAGTTTAGGGGTGCAGCTGTGGGGGGTGGCCTGCACTGTGGGGCTTCCTGCTCTGTTTACATTTCCATGTGTGTTGGGCTCTAAAGCACGGGTTTCTTACCTTTGACCACCTGCTTGCAAGGCAGGCACTTAGCCACTAAGCTAAATCCCCAGCCCCTATTTCCTTTCTTTTCCAAAGTCTCCACGGAAATCACACTTCTCCAAAAACGCCTAATTTTCTTTTGCAGAATGTGCCTGGAACACCAATGGAGGCCAAATACAGGAAACACAGGGCGGGCCCCAAGAAGAAATCCATGAGACGTGAGGGTGCAAGTCTGAAAGAGGAAGCAACTAATGTAGTTGAAGTGATGACTTCGGCTACGGAGTCCATCTTGGCATCTTGGGCAAGAATAGCATCGAGAGTGGGTGAGCCCAAGGCTGTGGCTTCCTGCTCCACACCCAAGTCCACGGAGGCCTTCTTGCCCCAAGCCCCTGGTAAGATGAACCTTAGGGTATGAGTCCTCTTTCAGAGAAATGAGGTTAACATCAGTACAAGACAAGATGCAGAGTAGTTAGTTACAATATCCATAGATCAGAAGCTGTCTTCACAAAGGGTTTATTTCTTCCTTGAATGGTGAATATCAAGTTTCAGTTTGCTGAGACAGAGACACACTATGTAGTTCAGGTTGGCCTCGAACTCATGGAGACAGATCTTCCTGCTTTAGCCTCTTGGTACTGAGATTGCTACCATGCCTGGCTCAAATAATCAAATTTTGTTGAGATGGATCCTTAAGCCAGCTGGTTGAGTATGGAAATTTTTGCAGCTCTAAAAAATATTCCAAGCTGGGAAGGCAGCATAACTCAGTACTGTAGCCAAGCATGGTGGTAGACACCTATATTCACAGTACTTGAAGGCTGAGGCAGGATCGTCACAAGTTTGAGGCTAGCCTGGGCTATGTAGTGAATATAACAGCAGCCTGAACTACCCAGTGAGACTCTGTCTCAGATAACACTGATGGTTGGCTGTTAAGGTTGTCTTCTCACTCCCTGAATGTATTCATGACATAGGTGTGTGGTGATTCCAAGTTACTTTGCTTAATACCTGGTTTCTTGGTCTACAAAAATATACCCAGATGTGGTGATGCTTGCCTGCAACCCCAGCACTCGAGAGGCTAAGGCAGGAGCATTGAAGGTTCATGTCCAAACTGGTTGACTTAGTGATGTAGTGAGACCTTGTCTCAAAATAAATGATCCAAAGGGGCTTGACAGACAGTCGTGGAGGTTCATGCCTGTAATTTAGCACACAGGAGTTGGAGCCAGAGGAGTGCTGTGAGTCCAGCCTGAGCTTCAAAGTGAGGTCAAGTCCAGGTGGAATAGCAAAGTGAAACCCCGTCTCAAAGACAAAAGAAAAAAGGAAAAGAGAGGTGGGGGGATGACAGTGTAGCTCAATGTAGCTTCAGTCCTCCAGAACTGAAGGGTAAAAAGTAAAAAAAGTTTGTTACACAGCTAGGGTACAGCTCAATCAGTCCAGTACGACAAAAATAAAAGCAGGCAGTTAAAAAAATAAGTCAAATGAACACCATTTGTGGTGGTGCACACCTGTAAGCCCAGCACTTGGGAGACTGAGGCACAAGGATTGCCATGAGTTAAAGTCCAGCTTGGACATAGTGAGTTCAAGGCCAGCCTGATAAACAATCGAGAAGATTTCTCAGGACACAGATCTCAAACCTAAGGTTCCTTTCCTTTTCTCTGGTGTGGGGACTGTGTCTTGTTTTTGGTTGAGAGAGCATCTCTCTGTGAAGTTCAGCTGGCTTTGAACTCACTGTACAGCCCAGGCTGGCCTTGAACTCTTGGTGATTCTCCTACCTCAGCCTCTCCAGTGCTGGGATCACAGGTGTGCTGCACCATACCTGATAGGATGCTCGGTATTGAGCTCACAACCTCACACATGCTAGAAAAGCACCACACCATGGAGCTATGCCCCAGACCCTACACTGTACAGACTGAGGCCGAGGCAGCACAGGGTAGCTGCTTAGACAAATGGGCTGGGTCGTAATACTGCATCTGTCTCAGTACCGGAGAAGTTATGATATCTAACATCATAAGCCAACTACCTCCTCTAAAATAAGAAAATCAGGCATCTTGGATACACCTCAGTGGGCAGAGCACTTACTTAGCCCTGCTCCCCTCCATTCACTAGAAAAAAAAGGGGGGTGGTGAATGTACTTAATAGTGAGTACACTTGTATAGGACAATTAGTAAAATCCTGGACAAGAAACAAAGGAAGCCGGACAAAGTGGCTCACACATTTGGAAGGCTGAGGCTTGAGGATTATTGCAAGTTTAAGACCAGGCTTGGCTACAAAGTAAGTTCAAGGCCATATTGAATTGCATAGTGAGACTGTCTAAAAGACCAAAATAAATAAAGGAAATATTCCAAAAATGTGACTTGTTTATAATTGTTTTTTATTATGTTTTGTTTTTTGTTTGAGACAAGGTCTCACTATGTAGTCCAGGCTGATCTGGAACTCATGGTAATTCTATTGCCTCAGTCTCCAAAGTGCTGGGATTATAGGTCATAGCATCTTTTAATACACATTTTCTGTGCATCTTCAGCTGATTTGCTTACAGAATATAAAACTTGAGAGTGCCTGCAGTCTCTCTCAATCCCACTGTCTTCCTCTACTCTGTTCCCTCCACAGGTGTCAGGTGGTGCGTGGTCCACGGTCAGCTTCGCTCTGCAGATGTGAAGGGCTGGGTTCGCCTGCAGTTCCGCTCAGGCCACACTTGGGTCCCCAATAGTCCCAAGAAAATGATCGCCCTCTTTCTGTTACCAGCCTGCATCTTCCCATCCCCCGGCACAGAAGATAACATGTTATGCCCAGAATGTGTTCAAAGGTAATCTGTTAAGCTCTGAATATCTTCCTAAGCAGAGTGCACAGAAGGGATGTCTAGACAGTCAGCTACAGAGGCACACATCTGTGATCTCAGCACTTGGAGGCTGAAGCAGGAGAATTTGTAGAGTTCAGGCTAACCTGTACTACACTCTGTCTCAAAACAAGCATAAGACACCTAGATGTATTTCAGACTAATGTAGAGAAGGCAGAGAGCAAACATGCTATGTTCTTAATTGCTATATAGATCCAACAAAAAGAACTTAGTGAGTTGGAAGTGAGATAAATGTAACTAGTTCTTAGCAGCCTTTAAAAAATTGTGTGTAAGTTACGACTTTAAATTCACCATAATATTAGTGAGCTTGTCTCTGTTTTGCAGAGGGCAGGGTCCTATATAATCCAGCTTGCTCTCATCTCACCATGTAGCCCAGACTGGCTTCAAATTCAAGGCAATTATGCTGTCTCAGCTTCTCAAGTGCTGGGATCACAAGCAAGCATGACCACCACACCAGGCCTTGGAGAGCTTTTCTAAGACAAGAAACAATAAATATTAGAAATCCTGCCACATCTCAGGATTACTCTCTAGGGGATAAAACAAAAAATTTATGCAGCACACTCATGGAAACCAGTCACAAGAAGATGAGGACTCTCCTAGGAAGTGGCTGTCAGAATAGCCTGGGGGAAATTTCAGAAGCAGTCACTCAGCTAAAGGATGCACTGACAGGAAATTCGTAACTTGCCCTCCCTTAAGGAAAAAGGGCCAATATGAACATGGAAATAAGAGACTGTGGCACACATGGAAACTGCAGACTTTAAAGAACAATATACGAGATAATAGGGAAAAGTCAAGTATGGTGGTGAACATTTATAATCCCAGCATTTAGGAAGCTGAGACAGGAGGATCACCGTAAATTCAAGGCCAGCCTAGGCTACATAGTGAAAAAAACAATCCTGAGAAGTCTGGATAAGAGACCAGCATCTCCTAGCTAGGGTCATTATTGCACACATTATGGGTGAGAGTGTGTAAGAACTGGTACTTTGTTTACATTGCAATCCTTTTTACTCTAATCATGGTATTTGGTGTAGAGCAGTTTATCACATTGTAGTAATCATTTACATTTATTTTTCTAATTGTCTTGTAGGAATAAAAAGATGATGAAGAAATTAATTATGGGAAAGAGAAAGAGACATCTTGTAGGAGACCAGAGTACATCACCCCAACACATGCCCCCTTAATCAATGTTAAAGGGTCATTTTGATCTGAAACTGATTGAGAAGAACCAGGCAAGAAAAGCTTTCTGCCTTTCCACTCTTGTCTACAGAACAGGACATAAATATACTCGCGTCTCCTCCTGTCTCTACCAGGGCAAGTGGTAGAGAACCGTGGATAGTGACATGCATATGAATGACTGTCCTAAGATGGGATCCTAACCATCTTTAGCATCCCTTGGTATCAGGAGTCAGACTTATTAAGTACTTACTTATATAGAAGCAATTGGCTCTGGTTTTGTTGTAATTAATATATACATAATATTTTTTTCTTTTGCTTTCTCTTTTGAGACAGGGTCTTACATAGTGCTAACAGTCATGAACTCACTATGTAGCTGAGGCTGACCTCAAACTAGCAGTGATCCTCCTGCCTCTGTAGTGCTGGGTTCTAGGTATATGCTACCATGCCTAGGTGTGGCTCATAAGTAATTAGATTTACTTTTCTGCTCTAAAAGCAGAAAAGCTTAGAAGCAAAGCATGTGCTTCACATCAGGTTTCATTCTGAATGTGTTATTTACAGTATTAGAGATTAAGCTCAGGACCCTTTCTAAAACTATTATTGCCACTTGGGGTGGTGTGCACAGGCCTATAATCCCAGCCCTCAGGAGGCTGAACTAGTCGGGGTCCTCAGCCCCAGAGGACCCCGACTAGTTCAAGGCTACATGGTAAACTCAAGACCAGCCTGAATTACACTGTGAGACTCTGTCTCAAAAAACATATCTATATAAAATAAGTAGACAGCATCTCATGGAGTAGCCCAGAGTGCCTTAAACCTGTGATCCTGCTCCCAAGTAGCTGGGACTGTTGCCGTGCATCCTTGTGTCCAGCCAGTCTGTGAGGTTTGACAATATTTGACAACATGCAGCTAACACAGTATCATACAGAATTGTTTCATTGCCCTAAAACTCATCTAGTTTCCTTCCTCAGGGAAGCACAGCTCCTACCATCTCCATGGTTTTGTTTCTCTATAGTGCTGAATACTTAAAATTGGACAACATGTAGTTTTCGACAGTTTTTACCCAGCAATGTGCAATTAATTTCACTTCTGTTGTGAGGACAGGATCTTGCTACTTAGCCCAGCACATCCTTGAATTTCTGAGCCTTTAGCCTCCACCTCCTGAGTGCTGGGATTGTGAGTGTGCATCTCCTGCACTTAGCAAGTTTTTTTTGGTCGTAAAGCAATTTAAAAATAATTGCTGAGTAGTATTCCATGACCAAGATGTTCCAGTTTATGCATTCATTTACCTACTAAAGGACATTTAGGGTGCTTTTGAGGCATTATGAATAAAACTAGGTTGAGAAGCTGACACAGGAGGATCATCACAAGTTTGAGGCCAGCTGGGGCTAACTAGTTCAAGGCTAGTTTGGAAACAGCAAAATCCTGTCTCAAAAACAAGTAAGTAGTGCTTTAAAGATATGTGTGCCTGTTTTGGGGGGGAGAGGGGTATATAAACTTGAATAAATACCAAGAATTACAGGTTGCTGATTAAAGGGTGGGAGTACATTTATCTTTGTTAGAAGTTGTCAGATTGCTTTGCACAATGACTCCAGGGGCCGGGGATGTGGCTCAGCTGCAGAGCACTTGACTACCAGTGTAAAACCCCAGGTTTGATCCCAGCCACCACAAAAACCAAAATGAGTGATTTTTGCTTCACATATTCATCTGCACATCGTAGAACACGTGCAGCCATATTTCATTGTTTTAGTTTCCAGTTGTCGAATGACATAATAGCAGGGGAGGAGGAAGTCTTAACAAGTTTTCCCATAAACTGGCAGTTAAAACTAGAAGCTTTCTTTAGAACTTTTGGCAAGAACAGGCCACACACAGATGGAGCACTCCACACTATATCAGGAGTTGGGTAACTCAGGTTCTTGTTAAGTTCCAAATGCTTTATGCTGTTGAAGCAGTCTCCACCAGATTTCATCAGTGGGGTGTCTTCGGTGAAATCCATAATCACCCCTTGCTGGCCCATTGACACCATGTGGATTCAATCCCCAGTATACCGCAAACATTATAGAAATGTTATATTTTCTATTTTCTGGAACATTGCTTATAAGGAAATTATTTAGTTCTCAAAAACTGAGGTATTCACTTTTAAAACACCTAAGCAATGATTTGTGTTGAAGACACATGTAATTATCACCTCAATTTTTCTTTGTTTTGTGGTACGGGGGGATTGAACTGATCAGTATTCACGCTGATCCTCATCTCCAGCCATTTTTATGTTTTATTTTAAGACAGAATCTTACTAATACAAGTTTTTTTGTTTTTTTAATGCAGCCCAATGTGCAACGTACCAGCCTCATTTTGTTCTCAGTACTTAGATTACAGGTGTGGGCCACCTCACCTGGCTTATTTTTATTTTAACTTTTTAAATTTTATTTTAAAGAGGATAAAACCAAGGAAAATAAAATTAGAATAAAACCAATCAAAATAAACTAGTGTAAGTGATACAGAACTTCAAACATTATCACAACAGCAATAGTTACCATAATGCCTTTTGTTGTCTTCAAAATAGCTGCAGATACTTTTGGACATAGTAAAAATCAAACTGAACAGAATAGAATAGAAGCAGTCAAAACAAAACAAATGCAATAAAGAACTTCCAAAATGGCACCATAATATGTATTACTATCTTTTAAATAGCTGTTCTACCATCAGATCTATCATAAACGAGAATAAAACCAAATCCAAGAAAGCAATGAAATGAACAGGCGGTGATCGCCTCCTGGTGAGGCCTGGTTCTCTCCCTGTGCTGTCCACAGATGGTGCTGACTCAAGGACAGAGGCTTGGATGTGGCTGTCCCACTCCAGCAGTGGCCCACACATGGCACTGGTTAGTTTTATTTTTATGACAGAGTCTTCATAAATAGTGCAGAAATTCTGATCCTAACTGGGATTACATGTGTGAAACATATGTTCAGCAACTGTGTGCTGTGTTTTGAAAACCAAACTGCTCGTAATTTCTCATACTTTTCCTCAGAGCCATAGGAGAGGAGAGTGGGGAGGTCAGATAAGACATCTAGGTCTCAGTGGAGTGCTAAAGTCTCCCCCTCATACTTCTGCTTACTCAGAACACTTTTAAAATTGTAGAGAAAAAAATTAAGCAATGACAACAAAACAGCTTTTCCAAACAGGCTAGCAGGACAGTAACATTAATCAACACATTGCACATTGTTATATTAACAGTAGTTGTTTAGGGCACAAGATACAGGCATGAAACATTTTCTAGAAAATCACTAGCACAAAATTCTACCCTCCATGAAGCAAGAGAAACCAGCTGTCTATCTTAACTGTCTTAAGTTATATATATATTTTCATTTTCCCATTCATCTTTCTCCTATCACTATTTTTCTTTGAAGAATTCTCTATTCACAATATATTGTACATTTTTTACTTTATGCTTTTAGATTCTCACACTGGTAAGACGTTTTACACATGTGGGTCTGGTTTATTTCTCTTACGAGTATGGTCTCAAATTGCATACATTTCCCTCTAAATGTCTCAGGTTTTCTGGGTGTAGTGGCACATGCCTATAATTCCAACACTTGGGAGGCTAAGGCAGGAGGACTGTGATTTCAAGACAAGCCTGGGCTGCAAAATTAGTTCAAAGCCAGCCTGAACTGCATAGTGAGACCCTATTTCAGAAAGACAAACAAAAAAGGTCTTGAGTTTATCTTTTTTTAATGGACTGGGTAGCATTCCATCATACAAAAAACCTACATTTTTTTTAATCTGTTCCTTGGTTGGTGGGCTTTTGAGTTGTTTGCAAAATTTAGCTTTTACAAGTTGTGCTGATATAAGCATGGGTGCACATAAATTGCTGTGGTATGATGCTTTTTATTCTTCTAGGAAGATACTCAGAAGGGAAATAGCTGGCCCAAATGGGACCTTTAATCCTAGTTTTCTGAGGAAACGCCACACTGATTTCCACAGTGGTTTCACCAGTCTACACTGCTACCAACAAGGGAGAAGGATTCCTTTGTCTTCACAGCTCCTCCAGCATTTGTAATCGGTTGCTTTCCTGATGATAACCATTGTTTCTGGAATGAGGTGGAGTTTCTCAGTGTTGTTTTAATTTGCATCTCTTGAATTACCAATGATGCTGAACAATTTTCCATATATTTACTTGCTATCTGTATTTCTTCATCTGAGAAGTGTGTATTCATCTCAGATGCCCATTTTTGGATTGGGTCTTTGAATTTTGGGGTCCTGATTTTTTCCAATTCTTTATATGTTCTAGATATAAGTCCATTGTCTGAGGGACAACTAGCTATAATTTTTTCTCCCACTCTGTGAGTTGTATTTTGACTTTATTGGTGATTTCTTTTGTTGTGCAAAATCTTTAATATTTAGATTTTTGATCCATTTTGACTTTAGTTTAGCACACATGATAGACATGGATCTAATTTTACTTTTCATCAAGTGGAGAGCAAGTTTGCCCAGTACCATTTATTAAAGAGACTATCTTTCTTCCAGTGAGCATGTGGGGCTGCTTTGTCAATGACAGGGTGGCTGGCTGTGTTTGTAGCTGTGTCTGCATCTTCTAATCTGTTCCACTGATCCTCAGGTCTGCTTTTTTTACTATCATCATGCTGATTTTATCAAAATAGCCTTGTAGCATAATTTCAAGTCAAGATTGTGATGCTTTCTGTGTGCCTTTGTTCAGAATTGCTTTTGCAATCATGGATGAGTGGTGGACTTTGTCAGATGCATTTTCTGCATCTATGGAGATGATCACATGATTTTTGTCTTTGGTTTTGTTAATATACTGCATTATATTATTGATTTTCATATGGTGAACAATCCCTGCATCCCTGATATGAATCCAATTTGGTCATGGTATATAATCTTGATAATATGCTGCGTTCTATTTGCTAGTATCTTATTGAGGATTTTTACATTTGCATTCATTAGGGAGATTGGCCTGTAGTTTTCTTTTTTTAGTTTGGTTTCTCTCTAGTTTTGGAGTCAGGATAACACTTATCTCCAGAGATGATTTTGGGCGTATTACTTCCCTGTCAATTTCCCTAAAAAGTTTCAGCAATAGTGGCATTAGTTCTCTAAATTTCCTGTAGAATTCAGTGATGAATCCATCACAGCTTAACTTTTTCTTTGTTGGTAAATTTTAAATTACATTTTCAATTTTATTGGCTGTTATCAAGTTATTTAGAATTTTTATATCTTCTTGATTTGGTTTTGGCAGTTGGATTGTTTCTAGGAATCTGTCTATTTCTCCTGTGTTTTCCATCTTATTAGAATGTAGGTTCTCATAGTAGTATGATCTTCTGAATTCTTGTAGGATCTGTTGTGATTTTCCCCTTTATTTTCCAAAGCAGTTGAATTTGTAATTTTTTCCCCCTTTTTGGTGAGGTTGACTAATGGTTTATCAACTTCATTAATTCTTTCAAAGAAAGAAGTTTTCAATTCATTGACTCTTTGTATTGTTTTTAGACTCAATTGATTACTTTGTACTCTTTATAATTTCCTCATAGGAGCTTTGAGTTTGATTTGTTCTTCTTTTCCTAGAATTTAGAAGTTCATCTTTAGGTTGTTTATTTGAGCTCATTCAGTTTTTCTCCAGTGAGAATTTGTCACTATAAATTTCCCATTTAGAACTGCTTTCATTGCATTCCATAGGTTTTGGTATGCTGTATTGGCATTGCCACTTTGTTGTGTATACTGTGTAGTTTTGTGTTTAATTTTCTCTGTGAGTCATTAGTTGTTCACAAGTATGTTGTCTGATTTCTACACGTTTGTTTAGTTTTTGCAATTTCTTTTGTTACTTGTTTCCTGTTTCATTTAGCTATGGTCAGATAGTGTGCAAGGAGTGATTTCATTTCCTCTACATTTAAAACACATTTTGTGGGTTAGTTTGTGGTCTGTTTTGGAGAATGTCCTGTGTATAGCTGAGAAGAGTATGTACTCTGACGTTTTGGGGTGAAATATTCTATAGACATATACCAAGTTTATTTGTTCACAGGCTAGATTTAATTCTGATGCTTTTTCCTTGATTTTTTTTGGTCTGGTTGACCTATGTACTTGTGACAGGGGAATGTTAAGGTCCCCTACTACAACTGCCTTAGTGCTTATTTAGTTACTTGTGTCTGTTAATACTTGTTTTAAGTAGTCCACTGGTGTTTGGTGCATATGTAGTTATGATTGTTATCTTTTCTTTTTGAAGTTTTCCCTTAACAAGTATAAAGTGACTTTCCTGGTCTGTTTTAATCAGTTTTTTCTTAAAATTTACTGTATCAAAATAGAATAACTACCTTGCTCTTTTCTGGGTGTCTGGGTCATGGAGAATTATTTTCCATCCTTTGACTTTTATAGGTTATGAATTTCTTTTTGGGTTAAATGTTTTTCTTGAATGCAGCATACTGATGGATCTTTCTGGATCCAGTCCGCTAGTCTTTTTCTGTTGACTGGTGAGTTCAGGCCATTTGCATTGATGATTATAACATTAAAACATTTTGGCTTGTCTTTTTGTGTCATTTTCCTATTGTCAGTTCCCTGTCTTCTCCTCTGTTTAACCGCTTGCCCTGCTTGGCTGTTTTTTCTACAGATTCTCTTGTGTTTGTGGTCTTTGTGATCTCTCTTTAATATACCCTTGAGAGCATTCTGCAGTGCTGGTTTGGTGATCATGAATTTCTTCAGTTGTTCTTTGTCATGGAAGTATCTTATTTTTCCACTGGATTTGGAAGATAGTTTTGTGGGTTAAAACAATCTGGGTTGAAAACTGTTTGCTTTTAGGGTTTGAAATATCCCATTCCTGGCTCTCCTTGATTTGAGGTTTGTGTTGAGAAATTTGCTGTGATTTTGATGGGCTTTCCTTTATAGGTGAT